GTCTCCGGGGCTCCCGGCCGTCATCGCGCGGTCGTCCGGGCGCACTGCGGGGCCAAGCAGAGAGGCAGACAGTGACCCGACGGGCCGGGCTCCGGGGGAGGGACGCGCGGGGCCGCCTCGGCCGGCCGCTTGGAGATCCCTGGCGGCCACCCCCGGATTTTCCCGCGGCCGCAAGGCTGGGAGCCGCCCCCGCTCGGGTTTTCCGCAGCGGAGCTGGGAGCCAGCGTTGGCCGGGCCCGCGGGCGGGCGGAGCGCAGGGAGGGGGCTGCGGGGCTCGGGTGCAGCCGGGGCTGCGGGGCTCCTGCAGCCTGCGCGCGCTCCGCCCGCCCGCCCGCGCGGGTACCCCCTCCCCCCGAAACCGCGGCCGGGGTAAGTACCTCCCGGGCTCGACCCCACCCCCGCACGTGGCCGCCCCGAAGTAACCAGGGGAGGGGGCGCTCGGACCGCCCTGGGTCTGCAGGTCGCGCGCGCGCCCCCCACCTCCCCCCCTACTGCGCTTTACATACCGCAGCGAGGGCCGCCGGGGGTGTCTCTGACTCCGGCTTCTCCTTGCTCGCCCCCTCCTTGCAGACTTCCTCAGCCAGCACTGGAGCTGCAGCAGGAGAGACTTGAGCTAGACTCTGGGAAGACCGCTCTGGCCGAGACCAGCCAGTCAGAGCAGAGGAGGCAGCGGCGGACTTTGTCCAGGATTCTTTTCCACTCCTCCAGAAGAGGCCTCCCCCTCCCCCCACGGCCGGACTAGGACCGGGGCTGGAGGCAGGGGACTGCCAGTGCCGGACGCAGGTCCTCGCCGGACGGACTGTCCTCCCGGATCTCTCGTCGACCCAGGCAAGGCTGTTCCCAGATTGCGGTGTTTCCGATTCGGGCTCCCGGGGATGAATCATCCCCCTTTCCCGCCGCCTGGCCTCTTTTCCAGCCTCCTCCGCCCGAGGCCTCCGTGGGCCGCGTCCGGGCCGGAGCAGCACCGCCCCGGGGTCGGGGCCGCACGCTGGAGCCGCTCCAGG